ACCCCAGAACTGACACTACCATTTTCTAATTGTTCAGCCTCTGATGAGAAACTTTTCTTCCGTTTCTTCATCTGTAAAACAGGGACACTGTGGTTACAAGGGCTGACAGAGCGAAGGAGAAATAAGTTAGTAACTCATATTGGTTATTAGGGCCAGGTACAGATGTGTTATTCATTGGGTCATGACGAGTCGTAGTCGACTTCAAGGCACCTTACAGCACACCTTCCCCGCAGTGTCACCTGAGTGCTGAGTGAGAGGCAGGAGGCAGGTGCTAATAGAATAATGAGACTTGCTAACTGAGCCCAGCATTTGCCAGAGTGAGGTGGCCATGATTTCAGGTTGTGTCTGCCATGATTTCAGAGGTGCGTGGATTTTTAATTTGAGTCGTTGGGGATTTATTTTAATATATATCAGAAAACATGAACCCACTACGCCCAATCTGTGGGGGTTCTTGCTCAGGACAAGCATTAGCGTAGAGGACAACGTGGGCCTGGATCTATTTTGAGGGACGATAGTAAATCCTAGGCCAGCTGCTACTTCAGTGAGGCCGACTCAATGTGATGGCAGACGCTTGGCTGTTTCCTATCATGTGTGACCTTCAATCTTGTCCCTTGAAGTAGGCATTGTCACTCCACTAGTTCTGGTCAATGAGATGACTGGAGGTGGGAAGTGTTATGTGTAATTTTTGAATGGCAGCGTTTAGTTGTTGATGTGAGAACACTGGTCTTGGAGAATCACTTGGATCCAGAGGTAAAAGAAATACAAACTTCTGTTGTGTGTCCTATCCTGTCCAGTAAACCATCCAATTCTCATAACCCCTCCCTATTGTTATGCCCATTTTATAGATGAGGGAATTGAAGTATAGGGGTCAAATAGCTTCCTGAACTCACCTAGCTACAAAGTGCAGGATTTAACCCCAAGTGTTTGACTTAAAACATTTTTGCATAAAAAGGGACTTTCAGTATTTCCTAGAACTTTTAGGGAAGACATTTTTGTTTCTGTGGGCACCAGGTAACTCTGGAACAGGAACTGAGTGCAGTCCCACTGTGGGCGTGCGCGCGCGCGAGCACACACACACACACACACCCCTCTTCATGCCCGCCGCCCCCACCAGAACCAGAACTGGTGAGTGGACTAGCTGGGATTTAGATTCCGGCCGAAGAGCCTGCCATTAGGACCCTAGACCCGGGCGGGCACAACTGATGCACAGTTGAGTTAGAAATTCAACTGGACTAAGGGTCAAAACCAATCCATTAAACAAACAAACAAATCCAAATCCAAAGAACCCCTATGGCTGCCCCGTCTGAACCAACTCATAGTTGACCCTCCAGTGGGTGTTTGGAGGTTGTAAACGGAAGGGAGGAGACTGCCCATCTTTTCCTCATGAGTCACTGATGGATTAAACTCGTCAGAGGCACCACCTTGGGGTTAGCAGCGCAACTGCCTACACACTAGACCAGAGCTCCCTGTGCCGAGGGTTGTTGTGTACCATCGAGTTGGAGCTGAAATCATAGCTGAGCCTCTAGAGGGTCTTCAGAAGCAGTTAATCGCAAGAGAGATTGCCCATCTTTCTCCCGTGTGGCAGCTGGTGGCTGTGAACCGTGTAACTTTGTGTTGGCAGCACAATGCCTTACCACTACACCACCAGAGCTGTACCTAAGAGTAGATTCCATTTATTATCTTCAATTTAGAGGTGAGGACCTAAGATTCAGAACACAAAGTGGCTAGCTTGAGGTCCCAGTTCAGAGTGTGAGAGCTGAAAATGTGATTCCTCCAGCATTGGGGAAAGAAAACCTTGCTCTTTCTTCCTCTCCTTTTTCTTGCCCCTCCCTCACTGGGGGAAGAGTGCCAGCACTGACAGGTGTCAGGAGCCCAGAGCTGGGCAGCCCCTCGGGCCCTGCTAAGAGCATCTGGGCAGAGTTGGATCTGCTGGCAGTAGAAAACTCTGCTCCCATTGCTGGTTTTTCTATCTTGAGACTCCCCCCTTCCACAGCACAAGGCTCCATCTTCACTTTCCTGGCTAAATGAAAACAGTTGCCAGGCCAGGGAGAAACCTCTGAGCCTCACCCTTTATCAAGGTTTGGGAAGGGGACACTTTATATTCTCCACAGATGCTGCTGCAGCCCACCCTCCCCCTCATCCTCCCTGCCTTGGTTGAAGGACCCACCCGGCATCTCTCCAGCCCATCTCAGGGTTCCTGGCACCCCTGAGAGGGGGGGTTCAGGTCCCCCACGTGACAGGGCATGTCAAGAAGCTGCTCCAACTTCGACAGAGCAGAGGTCTGCCCAATGAGGTGTACCTCCCGCCTATACCACCCTGTTCTCCCTGCCTGTCATCTCCGTCTGGACCTTCCAAGTCCATGCTGGCCCTGTCCCGAGCCTGTGTGGAGTCCCCTGTAGTGTGGCCGAGGGTCACTTAACCACTGTGGCCTCAGCAGGTGGAGAGGGTCTTGACTGCTGGACTGGGGCCCTCTCCTTTATGTTTTGCAGTCCCTGATCTAGTGAATTTACAGAACTTACGGCTGTCAAATTGGTTCTGACTCAAAATGTTGGCACATTTTCAGAGGTGAGAATAATTTCCCAGAATTTTAATCCATGAAGAGGAATTGAGATTGTCTCCAATTCTAGGGCTGTGGGCTCTCTGGTCCTGGTGTCTCCCAGTCCTCCATATAAGGTGTGTTCATGGTGGGGAAGGGAGCTTAGAGGCAGGGGCCACAGTATTCTGAGTGGGACCCCGAGAGCTGGGATGAGTCTGGCCTCCAGCTGGCTGCTTCAGTGAGTGCTGTCATCAGGGGCACATAGGCCCCAGGATTGCATCTGCTGCCCAAGGAAAGAGGACTCACTTCACAGTGTCTTTCAGCTCTGGGAATTCTTGTTCAGAAGTAGAAAAGCTAGCTCCTCAGTTTGACAAACAGGAACCAATGGAAGGTTGAGAGGAGACTCTGGCAGGTTTCTACAAGGGACCAGGGGTTATCTGATCCAGCCCCTTCTCTTCCAGGTTAGGTAACTAAGGTCCAAAGGGGTAGGGCCTGACTCAGGGGCACAGAAGCCAATATGGAGGGTAGAGCCTAGAGGTCAGAACCCCGTGTGGTCTCCATGTTCATTCATGGTGTCCCCAGGCCACTGAGGTGACCTTTCCATGGACCGGTGTCCTCACCTCAGGAGTGGAGGTAGTGACAGGCTTTGCTAGGACTTCCACAGTGGGCAGAAGAAGCATTTTTTTAAGGGACAAGCAAGCGAGCAGTAGAGGCCAGGGCTCCTGGGGCCCTCTGCTCAGACCTGTCTACACATATTGTAATGCCCCAGCCTCTGTTTGGAGGTCTGGTCATGAAATATCATAAACCCAGTGGCCTTTTTCTAGAATGAGGGCCTTTCAAAGTCAATGAGGACCACAGCGTAGGGGTTTACATTGAAGCCAGTTCAGGAGGGGCTGGAGGACTGAAGTAGACCCACTGGGTCACTTCAGCTCAGCTAAGACAGCCTTTTGCTGGTGCTGAGAGACACAAGTGAGAGATGCTTGTGTCTAATCTAAAATTTGAGATATGTGGCTTGTGAGGGGCCGATGTGGTTGATGTGAGCAGTGGCTGCCGTGTCCCCCTTACGCCATTTAACCTGGACACATGTGTTCCACGCAAACGGAGCGTGCACATTTAATAATAAGAGAACAGTGAGGATTGTGCGTAAAGAGGGTCACCCTGGCTTGCTCGGCACTGACGGACGCCCACCTCAGAGGACACATGGTCCATGTCAGCTGCCAGTCGACCTGCCCTCACCATCAACTGCAACAGCCTGTGTCCAGCATTGTGTTCAGAGCCTTACAGTATTTAACACTTTGGGAATTCAAAACAGTTTGCAAAAGAGGGTGTACATAGGACTTTTATTTTAGCATCATTTAGTACTGAATATTTCACAAGGTTTCATGACCAAATTAGTAATTTACACTTTTCAAATATATATCTAAATATAAAATTGCTAAAAATTCAAATACAGTTAGCAAGCTACAAATACTATTTCTTTTGCTCCCAGGGTGAGTAGGAAAGGAAGACATTAGAAAAGGATACTTTTGTTGGCTGAACAAAGATCAGAACAAAAGAGGAATTCATTAAAATGACCCCATGTGCAAAGAAATATGCTTAACTTTGAGATGGTGTTTTAGTCACACCTTTTCCTATATAATAATTTTTTTAAAAAAAGATTTTAAATGCAGGTCCTCAGCAAGTAACTGAAGTCCTTGGCCCTGACTGGGGACAGTATGAAAGGACGTCACCCTGGGATGGACACTGGAGAGGTTGGCGGAGGACCGCAGAGGCATCTGGTGAGGCCAGAGGTGTGGTGTCTGGACGCCCTATCCTTGTCTTTTCAACACAGGAAGAGCAACGCCATTGGGGCTAGTTTCCCTCCTCCCCTGGGATCCTGCTCACGGTTTTCCCTGATAGAATGAAAAACAGCAGCTTCCAGCCTGCTCTGAGGAGGCAGGAACTGGATGGAGAAGATGAGAGGGGGACAAGGCCCTTTCAGAGTCAGTGACAGACTCCAGTTCCAGGCACATGTCACATGTAGTTCCAGTTGTTGGCTGGGATGTACCTTTGCTAAGGAAGAAATGGAAAAGACCATTTCTGGCTGGGAGACTAGTGTGACTATAAGACTCCTTGAAGGCCCCTTATCCTCTGTGACCCGGCCTGACACACAGACTTGTTCCCCTGATATCAGAGGTGCCGGGATGTGTTGAGGAAACAGGACTTTTCAAGGGAAATGACATAGCGTGGGGACACACAATAGTAGGTCTTCTTTACTAACTTTCAGTAAGATACTATCCTCAAAGCAATGCACTCATTTAAACAAATGGCATAGTTAAAACTATTGACTAAGCTTTAAACATTTCTTCTGAGAAATCGAGCCAGAGCTTGTCCAATCTGCCTGTTCAATAAGGGAAGAGATTTGAGAGAGAATAACATCATCAATCCTCCACCCCAAAGAATGGTCCATCATACCAACTATGGTAAAGAGTACACCTGTTTATTAAAAGGGAAAAAAAAGTACATTTTTGTTCTCCATTTGCTTTAAGAAATTTGATCAAGTTGCGAGGAAATGTCTGGGCACGGCTATGTACATCCGTGGGCAGGGTCACCAGGCAGTGAAGGCAGCTGGGCAGCACGTGGCTCTTCTCAGTGGTGGTCTGGCCTCAGGCACTGCTACTCAAAGCCATAGCCACGTAGGCTTTGGTTCTAAGGAAACAACCTCAGCTCCACCCTAGGGCTGCCCCTCCCCAAATCTCCCCCTAAAACCCTGTGCCTGTGAGCCAAGGCTGGCCTCCCTCCCTACGACTGTAGGACACAGGGTGGGCTCAGGCAGCCGGGCCCTGACAGGCAGGCTTTGAGCTCTGGTGACAGATTGAGGCTGGAGGCCACTGTCACTGCTGCCCTGATTTCTTCTCCTTCTGGAAGCTGAAGCTTGTACGTCTGTTCAGTTTTCTTTGTTTTTGAGCAAAATAGTCAGCCCGGGCAGTGCTGGCTCGTGATTCCAGGATGTAGTTAACCTGGAAAACAAGAGAACAAGAGGACACAGCCCAGTCACTTGCCAGCCGGCTCTCAGACAGAGAAGCGGGTAGAAGAGGAGGGTCCTGATACAGGCTGCACCCTCAGACCCAGGAGCTCTCTCACGGATCGAGTCCAGTAATCACAGCACCCAGCAGCCTGGGATCAGCCAGGGAAGGGTGCACCTGGGTTCTGGGCCCACATTCCCTGCTCAGCAGGGGCTGCTTCTCAGTAGGGATGCCCAGTGCTTCTCATCCACTGCTCCTGCTGTGTGGCCTTTGGACATTCATGGTACCTGATCTTCCTGAGCCTCACTGTCATGTTATAGAGTGTGTCTTATGTATAAAACACAAACCAAAACAAGACTCAGTATCCCCTTTCCTACCAACTACTGCACTTCATCCTATGTTCTCCAGAGTCATCTGGCAAAAGGACTGAACTGGCCAAGGTCACAAAGTCAGTAAGTATCTGGGCCACAAGTATGTATCAGGTCGACAGACCCTTGGTTGTCATGTCAGTCCTCCTGGTCCCTGACCTTCTCAGAAAACCACTGACTCTCTTACTCACTCCCTCTCCTGTTAGACACTGTCTAGCTGCAGCTTCTAAACAAACACTTTTTTCTTCACCCCCAAATATCTGAAGGTTATTCCTATGAACCCAAATTCTTTTTGGCCAGAGATAACAACAAGTTCCCCTGCATGATTCTAATTTAAGGGGATATGGATTCATGACCCAGAGGGGTAGAGGCCTCTGTTGACTGAAACAGCCAGAGGGCTCTGGGAGGAGGCAGTACAAGACTGCAGTCTCATGAGGGGCTGAGACGTTGACACTGGGCCCCGCCATACTTTCTGCTCTGATAGTCACCGGCAGCCGGCGTTAAAGGCCGGTGGGTGAGTACAGCAGGCCTGACACGCTCGGCCCACTGCCTCGCCAAGTTACCAGCTGAGAGCAATAAATCATGAGGACTGTGGGGCTAGATGATGACTTAGGACACACCAGACAATGTATGGAGATAAGAGGCTTTATCATTTTTAATAAAAGCAACCCTTGGATGATACTGTTTGCACACTCGGCCAACCTAGTATTGCCAGTGTATTTTTGGCACATATAATGTGACAAAAGCATCTGAAAATGATCCTTAACAAGCCAACTTATTTCCGAAATTTATTATCTTTAGTGCTTTGTGATAATCACATAGATAATTTTAATGGAAGATTAATGTAATAATCAAAAGATAAAAACGCCCTTTGGTCTGCCATTAGCTGGTTAATATGCTGTGGCTTAAAACTTGCACAATTTTATGCACTATAGAGTGTTTCACTTTCAATGCATTTTACAGCTTAAGGCATAAAAATATAGGGAGTTTTCATGGTCAATAAAGCCAGAGCCTCCATCACTCGATCATGAGAAGAACTCGTTTTGAAGAGCCCGATGATTCCGCTGAGATTCATCTCAAAAGCCTGAAGAATTACAGACCACACGTAGCTTAGCTCAATTACATCTCCAGGCAGGAGGGGGCAGTCTCGGAACTCCTGAGGGACCGGGCTCAAAGAGAGACTCCACCTATATTAGATCTTGAGCCTTGGGCCTCCAGCTCCTCATCTATAAAGGGGTAATAATGCCTACAATGTGTGGGCAGTTGTGAAGAGTAAAGAGATAAGGGACATAAAATGCTTAGTATATAGTTACTGTTCAGTGAATACTATGTATACATGGGAAAAATAAAAGGAGACAAATAATTGGTGGAGAGCTGCCTGTTTACAACAGTTTCTTGGACATCAGCGTCTGGTCCTCGTTTTCTTCCTTCAGTTCCAGACTTAAGCTCTCATTGTATGTGAAACTGCCTGGTTCTGGAATAACCACGTGCATTCAGCCTAAGGACCCCTGAAGAGCTTTCCCTGGAAACACAAAATGCTTCTGTCAAATTCATGGACACATGGCTGGTGTCTCAGTGAACCAGATGCCTTACTGACTCAGTGTTGGTGCAAAACTAACAAAGACACTGTCATGACTATAGAAATGGCAAATAAGACTAAGTATTTAAATTGCTATAAAGACCAGAGATAGGAAAAGTAAAAGTTAAGCTTCCATCAGGCAATGCTCATTAGCTTCTCAAGTGACTCAGGCCTGAGCACTGTGCAAATCGCTTGGAGTCCTGCACACGATGTGGTGTTTCTACAAACATTGTGAAATGAAAACAGACATTTTGGGGGAGGCGACAGGCCTCAGGGATTTTGTAGAAAAGCATCTGCTTCAAGGGAGTATTTGGTTCTGTGAAATTATTTCTCTGCACTTGATCTTCCACAGTCTCATATTGAAGTCATAAACCTGTGTTTCTGTCATCAATCTGCTGTTGTGAAAATTATTTTGATGTCAAACACAGGATTATAATTTTACTAGAATCCTTCTGAAGTCTTGAATATTTTAATGCTGGCTATAAAAAAAAGCCTAGCCCTTGACGGGGTAATGGAATATTTTTCTACCTGGTCTCCAAACACTTTGTACACATTCTGTGTGCCATCTCATGACAATTTAGCAAGTAATTCTTAGCCTGCTGGTTAAGCATGCCCAGACTGGCACTCTGTCTCGACTCCACAGTCAGAGGGCTTCGGACTGGGTGGTCCATGAACACTTTGCCTGCTGTCTGACTACTTCTCTGCCTGACTCCAAGCCATCCTCCCAACAACTTGTGAAAATCTTCCATGCCACAAGGTCTTAGCCTCAAAATATTTCTGCAAAGCAGTTTCATTTCATTTAAAATTCTCACTCAGCTCCTTAAGGCTATGCATATTTCAGAGTTATCAGCACAATCTGCCAACAGGAAGTCAAGTTTTGGTTTTGCTGCTTAGGAAAATCTCAATCCTGGCTAAGAGGCTTACCTTTTCTGAGCCTCAGTTTTCATCTGGGAAGTGGAAATAATTTATCACCACCTACCTCATAGAACTGTGAAGATTCAATCAAACATGATAGTAAAGAACTTAGCCCTGCTCCTGCACTTTGCAATCCTCTGTATATCTTAGCTATGTTCATTACTGTCACTTGAAAATGTCTATTCTTAAGAAGGAATAACCCAGGCAGGCTTGTCATATCTCCTCTGTGTTTCAGCAGCCCTCTGGAGGGGAGGGACAGGACAGTATAGGGACTTGGTCCTGACTGTGAAGATGGAAAACTAAGTCCTACAGAAGTGCTGTAATAGGAGGCAAGCAGTTAGGAATGAGTTTGTGCCCTCTGCTTCTAGGTCTTATCCTGCTTTTAGAAAAGCTCTAGTTTTCTATTGGATCAATCTAGAGACAGTTCCAAGAAAGAATTCTTAGTTTGGAAGAGAGTCTGAAAACTTCTAGCCCAGGACCATGTGCTACTCAGAGCTGGGTGCAGACCAAAAGGCTGGGCAACATCTGAGAGCATATAATGCACAACTGTGAGTCCTATTCCAGACCTGCATGGCCATCAAGACCCACGAGGGCCTGCACCTGGGGAAACTCTCTCAGCCTGCTCTGGTTTGCCAGGTTCTGTGGATCTGGTCCCTCCAACCTCACTTCGCTGCTCCAGCCACACCTTCTTGCCCTGTCTCTGCCTCCTCACAGCCCAAAATGCTTTCTTCCCCGCTTCTGAACTAATCTTTTAATCTAAACTTTAGAATTTAACTGTCCCTGCTTTCCTACTTTTGTGATTAATTAGAATTCTCTGGGTATTTTTTTTCTGTTAATGCTTGCTATCCCAATAGGGAAAAAGCTCTGAAAAGGCAGGAATAGGGTTTGTCTAGGTCACTGCTGGACTCTAGTACCAGCCCTGCACAAAGGATGGGCTCAGTGAATATCACTGACACATGGTAACATACAATTTCTGCATAAGGTCAGGTATGCTTAGAACAGGTTGCTAAAATCAACCTGAGTACAATCAAGGTATATTCAAAACAGTTACAATCATTTCCTTGGCAACAACTCCAGGAACCTCAAGGAGTTCCTAGTGATGGCTGGAGAGAAAGAAATGATGCAGGGGAAGAACAAATAAGTACACAAAGAACAAGGATTGTCAGGAAACTGGAGGGAGGTCAAAGGGGTCCTGTTCTAGCTAATGTCGGGAGCAGTGTAGCTGACCTGAAAGGGCAGAGGCTGGAGGCAGACGCTGGTGTAGATCTCAGGTGTGTTCATCACTGGTCGACCCAGATACCCAGATAGAGAGTACTGTTGTTCCACCTTTACAAACTTGGGCCCAGGAACCATGTCCATCATCGAGGAGAGCTCCAGCTGGGTCTGAGCAGAAACTGGACTTACACACTTAGTCCCTAGGCTGAAGAAAGACCACTCACCTTGAGCACAATCTCATTGACGGTAGCAGCGTCAGATTCAAAGTAGAGGTGTTTATAGTCGTGATTGCTTAGATACGTGAGTTTAAATATTGCGTGACCTGAGGAGACAGAGAAAAGGCACTACTGAATGAGGTCTAGGGCCCCAAATGTTCTTCCTTTGTCACTCCAACTCAAGTGAGAATAAGTGGAGAGTGAGCAGCAACCGCTCTTTCCAGGGAGATTCCTTTTTCTCATCACAAGCTGGGCAAAAAATGGACAGTAAAAGAAAATGAAACGATCAACCAGCTAGCTATTCCCATTACATTCCAGAGTGTATTCTGTGGACATTAGAAAGGGTTTCCAGAACTACTTCTATATAATAATTACATGGAGAAGATAATATTTTCAAGACAGACATAATTATTCTAAAAATAAAATTAATTAGCAACAGGATGGAAAAACTCCATAGTTGTAGATCTCCCCTCGCCCTGGCCTGGCCTGTTGGTGGTAGGGACACTGTATGGAATAGACAAATCTCATCTTGTGCCCCTCCCTGGAAGCCCTCCTAAGATCTTTTTCCTCACATGATTCTCCAGAAAAAGTGGTCATTTCTAACCCGAAGGACTATTGGGGGCTAGAGGGTATGGCTGCATGAAAAGCTGTTGTGAAAAACTGGCATTCACATAGCAGACACACTTCAGGATCTTCCCAACACACAAGTCTGACCTACATCAAAGCTATTCATGTCCCTTCCTACCACCTGCCATTTTTCGGCCTAGGCTCATCTCCCACTGAGTATCTATGGACTGCCAAAGAACAAACAAGGATGTCTTAGAGAATAAAGTACAGCCAGTGTGCTCCTTAGAGGCAAGGACGGTGAGATTTTGTCCCATACTTTATGCATGTTGTCAGGAAGGGCGAGTTCTTAGAAAATGTTATCATGCTGGGAGAGGTAGAGGGCCAGAGAAAGAGAAGACCCTCAACAAGCTGGCCCAGGCTTGACACAGTGACTATAACAATGCGCTCAAGCATATTAGTGATGATGAGGATGGCACAGGAGAGAGCAGGGTTTAGATCTCTGTTGTTCACAGAGTCCCTATTGAGTCGTGGTCAACTTGATGACACTGAACAACAACAATGACAACTCATTCATAGTCCCATGTGCTGACAGTCTGACACACGCCATGGCCCCACGCTTGCCTTTGCATGGGTGCCTGCTACCCCAGGATGCCTCTCACTGGCTTACCAATTTTTGGTGACTTGGCGGAACTACTACCTCTTTTGACAAGTATTTACAGCTACACTTTCATGGTCTCTACTTGAGTGTGATTATCACAGTGCACACAGCTGGCCAAAGAAATTTACTTATGACCCTACAGCCGGTCCTAACTCCCTGTGCCTCCCCTTTTGGCCTGACAGGGCAATCAGAATCCCATCCCTAAACTGAGACACGTCTATCAGTCTGTCCAAGTGGGCACAAGAACAAAAGGGAAGTTAACAAGGGGCCTCTGTGCCTCCTGGCTTCAGTTCCACACAAAAGTACTCTCCTGACCAGGACTTTGCAAGAAATGATTTTCTTCTTAAACTATTTTGAAGTCAGGTTCTACTGGTGACAACCAAAGGGGTTTTACCCCAGAAAGACATGCAATGGGTCCTCAGTAAGTGGTCTCATACCACAGAACAGCTTGTAACAGACATATCTGACAGAAAGGCTGTCTGAGAATAGACTCAGACACAACCTTCTCTGGTGTGCATCTGCAGACCTCAGTGCTTGTAAAATTAAAATTCAGTGTATCTTTTCTATTAGGTCTTCTCTTTCGTTGTCCTTTTAATTGAAGCAGTGGGCTGGTCATAGTTATTAATTAATAATATATCACCCGTATTACTGTAAGTTCACCTCTTTCCCGGAGAAATCTTCTTAGGGACTTTATTTACAGTAGCTAATTCTTCAGATCCCTGAAAATAAACTGATATATGTTGTACATTTGTGGCCAGAAAATTTGTGCCATTGGTATTTTATCCTGGAAACATCATTATGATAAGACTAATTGTGTCTATAAATTCTGTGGTAAAAAAAAATGGCTAATAATTCCTGAAAAACTTCATTTTGACTTTAAACTTGACAAATCTAACCTGATTTTAAATCATAGTACTAAAATGGTAAAATTCTTAACTGGAAGCTAATCAGTGTATTGAAATATAAATCATCTGCTTCTGATAAGGACTAGAATCTCACATATACAGATACATCTATATGGGTCTGTATGTGTTGTTGTTGTTAGGTGCCACTGACTCGAGTATGACTCATAGAAACCCTACGAACAAAAGATCTGAACCCTGGCTTGGCCTGGGTTATCCTCATACTTCCCGACACACAAGAGCCCATTGCATAGGTCATTGTGTAATCCACCTGGTTGAAGGTCTTCCTCTCCTTCACAGACCCTCCATCCTTCCTTCCGTATATACATATGTGTGTTATGGAGCTCTGTAGGCATAGTCCATAGGGAACTGCATGGCTAACCTAAAAAGGGACCAGGTTGAATCCATCTTCAGATCAGTGGGAGAAAGATGGGTTATCTCCTCTTGTTCTATTTACAGGCTCCCTAAAGCCTACTGGAGGGTCAGCATGGTCAGGTCCCTTGATGGTAATGAGAGAGACTGTGCACCCCCTTCCCCTTGCCACTTTATCTTCATAGGCTCCATGTGAGAAGAGAATATCAGAGCCCCGTCTGGTAATGCTACTGTGTTGGAGAACAATGCAGCTATCTTTGCTGTCCAAGGAGGGCCATCTATGGAGGTCACAGAGCTGTGAAGGACAGAGACATGCCCTCCAGGAGGCCTCACTGCTGACACCTGGACGTGACAAACACAGACAACAGGGCCTGGGGCTAGGAAGGACCAGAAGGTCTTAGGGAGGCCTATAGACCTTAAACTTCGGGGTTCACTGACCACTTTTAAAAGGGACCTCATGGACTATTTATACCACCTGCTCCCACTTGTCACTGACAAAACAAAAGAAAAATCCCTGAGATGCTAGAGTATGTTTTGCTTGAACAACTGCTACACTACTAAAAACATATTCTGCGCTCTTTTTGGGTTGAGCCAAATCTGTACATGGCACATGTGCTGTACAGTCTGCACGTCCTTGCGCCCTGCTGCTGTGCTCTTGTGATGGTGGTGACTGTGGGGCATAACAGCCGTGGGCTCAGGGGAGGTCTGTGCTTCATCCACACAGAAGTAGCAGCAACATGGAAAGATGAAAAGGACACGGTCCCTCCTTCTGTATTTACTGTCTCCGCTGTACTCGGGGCTACATGTGGCCCACTTGTCCTCTGTGCTCCCAAAGTACCTGGGGAAGAGTGAAATGGGCAGAAAGGACTAATTCTACCTCTCTCCAGATCTCTTACACCTCTGATTTATTTGTACTTTCCAGTGAAAATATTTACACCACTCAGAGGGGAGAACAGAGGGAGTTATTGAAATACTGAAGTTTGAATTTTAACTTACCAGCCTTTTTGCAGAGAATCACAACTATTAACAACCTGAGTCAAAGTCAACAGCCTTTTGTTCCACTCATGCTAGAGCCATGGGTACAGACTCAGCTCACTGCAGGAGAGAATTTTTGTTCCCTTCCTCCAGGGAATCCTTTGTTTCACTGTTCGGTCAGAAGGGCAGTTGTCCTGAGATCTGGCCCAGCAGGGGCACAGACTAGTGCAGGTGACAGAGAAATGAGCAAGAGTCAAGTATAATTAGGGTTAAAAAACAAAAGGGAGCAGGAAAGCTGTGGTAGAGACACAGAGGCAGGAGGTAACTGCCAAGTGTGGGGAACGGTTCTGGAGGAGCTGATCAATGAACAGTCCTAGAGGAGGGATGGCGGTTAGGTGGGTAAAGGTGGGAGGTGAAGAAGGGTAGCAAAGAGGAAGGGGGCAACAAGGTAAGGGGGCAACAACATAAACAAACTTAGTCCCTCCTCTGTGGGAGCTCAAGCTGAGGGGCTCAGGGAGGGGGCACACCACAAAGAACTGGAGATAGCTGGACTCAACAGTTGATGGAATGAAGGTGAGTTTTAAGGTGTGTTTCAGGGTAGTCATTAGGCTCTCAGGAATCTGGAGGAAGGGAGCCCAGTAGCCACAGTCACTCACACAGGCTGAGTGCGTGTGGCTCTGCACAGGGGCAAATGAGATGCTGGGATAAGGATCCACTGAGAATGTTAGAGAAGTTAGTGTTGGCAGAACCCGAGAATGCTTTACAATAACAGCTGGTGAGCACAATTCACATTTGTATAATTTTACCCAGTCCAAAACTTATATATTAGAGTACAACAAGTTAATTAACCTCTTGCTGGAAATGAATGCTTCCATGGGCATGAGTGATTTATATCATGGTATATTTTTCACCAGAGGTATCCGGGAAGGAGTTACACTTCTACACTGCTGGGAACAGAGTAGGAAAAGTCAGCTCTCGAATATTTTATTGGCTTCAGTTACCTCAGGTAAGGGAGGCGAAGGGTTCAACTGCCTCCTAAACAACAGCCAGCATCTGTTCTGGGGAGTTTGTAGGAGTTACACTTGACTCAGTAAAAATGACTGTTACAAAATAGAATCAGGCCTCAAAATACATGAATATAATGACATAGTGTGGAAGCAATGTAATGATCCTCCTTGAAGTTAGTAATAAGATCAGAAGTGGAAAGCAACACCTCTTAATGCTATCATAGCCCTAATCAGATACAAGGGGAGTTTCCTGCAATATCTTTTATCTCACTAGCAATAAAAGGGGAAAAAAGTGAGCTGAGAGAGGCTGACTTCAGGATTACCAAGAAACTATTGCCAGGAGTGGGGTGTGCCATTTTGGACCCAGGTTCCTGCTCAAGGAACCTCCTTGTCACTAAGAAAGCCCAAGGCACATGGAGAGCTTCAAGGAATGCCAGAGTCTACAGATGCTGAAGGATACAAGGACTTTCACCTGCAATTGACACAGAACAGCCTGGAGGTAGCCTCAACTGTAAGAGGAGGAGTTGTTTGTTGAAGCCTCTCCCTTGTGGTATCTGTTACAGCAACACTAGAGAACTAAGACAATTACCTATTGGTATAACTTAAAGGAAAATATACAAAGTCTT